TGCGACACCATTACTCGTTTAAATGACTTGGACATTGATATGAATAATGACCATAACTGCTACAATTATAACAGACTAGTCGGGATGACATGCTTGGTTGTTGTTGATATGGAGACTGTTGATAGGTGAATGGCAAACAATAGTCAATTGCATATATCCGGTATGGTGGTACTACCAATCACAATTAACAATATCAACACGGAAATTAATGTATTTGTTATTGACGATCTTTGTACAGACTTATTTCCACTTTTCACACTGTTTTTCATCTTTGATATTTATACAATTCCATTTCTAATCACAAATATCCTGCCAGTCAATAAACTTTGTAGTTGGACAACAACCTCGGACAAATAGATAGCAGAGGCGTAAAGCAAGATCAGAATCTTCTTTTGGCTTATATTAATTTGAAGACTCGTATGTTGCAAAAAAATTGTTGAATATATAAGATTATTTAGCACCGTACCTATATTCGCAGTAGCCTCCGAATTCTTTTGCCGTACAATTACAAATGAATCATATCTTCGATGAATATAAATAATTTGTTTCTAAATAATATTAATAATAGTTGATCAAATCAATCAGCACATTCCATTTTAATAGATCCTACCCGGTAAACAAATTGCTTCAAAGTTTATTAAATGTAAACTTTTTTCCAGAATAACAATTATTTGGATCTAAAATTATATCGAGAATAATACCATTTATCTTTTCTATTATTGTCTGGTACAATACTATTTATGTGTGTAAAAATACTGTGAATTCTGAATTTCTTGACAGTGTGATGTTGTTTTCACTTTTTACGGCAGAATTTTGTGGATGTTGGTGTTATTTGCAGGTAAAGAATCTCGAGATAAATCTACGAACAAATATATCTGGTGTTATTGAATTTTGAAACTGAGTAGTAATAACAAGATACAACCAGTTGTGACAATTACTAAATATTATTTTATTGATTATGTTAAAAAGAACATCTGCTTCATTCCTTCCGATGGAAGAGTTTTATATTAAAAAAAATAGTTCCACTCAAATGAAATGAATTTGAATCAGAAGCAAGACATGATAAGGCTACTTTGCATATAATATTCTTATTATAAAAGGATAAGGAAAGAATTGTCTTATTTCGTTAAGATCGAAGATTATTAATACAGCAGGGTGTTTAAATTTATTACTTAAGTTTTTAATTTCTTAAAAAATTTATTAATCGACGTTTCGAGAATACAGTTTTCATTATCCGTGAAAACACGTAGTAGCAAGAGAGATATTTATCGTAATATAAAACTGAAAATATGACTTTCGTATAACATGCGTCAACATTGTACTATAGAAAAAAAGATATATGGATATAAAAAGTTCTTTTGAATAAGAACATAGAAATAAAATATACATGTATCGGAAGTGTAAAAGGAAAAGAAGATCGTACATGTTGTTGAAGCGATGAACTAAATAACCTTAAAAAAAATGCAAGAATCACAAAGGAAACTGATGTGAAATATGTGCAAAAATAAATGCTTTATCTTACTGAATTTTTGATTAAATTTTTTGAAACACTCTCATAAAAAATAAAAAGAGGAATAGAGTGTGTGGTGGTGTTCAGTTTTGGTTTACAATTTGATATTGCTAAAAGTTCTTTTATTAATAATCCGGATTATCTTTGAGCATTATAGGTACGCGATGACATCAGGATTTTTGAACTAACAAACTCCATCGTTAAAATTCACAAAACATATCCTGTATGAGATATTAATCTGTAGTTCCCATTGCCAATGTACAGAATGGGTTTCTATTTTTGACAATGCTTTCCTCTATCTAATTAAGTGCAAAAGTTCACACAGTTTTGTTTTGAAAACGTAATAAAACTTACGTTAAATGACACATGAGTAATTATCTCTTACTTAAACTTAGACTGCTAGTATTTATGTTCAATTATAGTGCAAAGGGTTGGTCAATCATCAAAGTATATATACAACAGTGCTGATGAACAATACACTACAACATGCGATCGTGGATAAGGGGTCACGCAACACCATCATTCAATCTATTAAGGAAAATGTACGATAAAAAATTTATTTTTAAGCCTAAATTGCACCCATCTGCCACCTTTACATCTATCAATATTATCGAAGAAATTGGATTAGAAATAAAAATCAACGGGCAGACAACATTCATTACAGCACATGTGGCATCTAATCGTGTTGTCATCGATTGTATTTCACATCAGTACGTTTTTTTATATGTCTGCTTCGTTCCAGTCGCTGCACTTTTATAAATCGCCTCTATCATTCTATGTCGAACAACAGCATCTTCCCAAGTGGGATATAAACCCCCTTCCTTTGCGAACTCATCGTACGCTCTCCCAACGTTGACATGTGAACCTTGTTCATCTTGTGGCGTGATTTCTTCCATATCTCCACCATCGAAACTTGCCCAAAGCGTCGGAGAAGAAAGTTGCAAAAGTCCGATTGATCCTCTAACTTGTAATTCGCCGTGAGTACCTTCGATCTCCCATAAAAGATTCGTGCCTTTATATGATCCACCACGGATATGAACCGACGCATATGCACCCGAAGTTAATACTCCGCTGACACTCATCTGATCATGTGAAGTAAGCGGTGCATCGCGAATCTTTTTCCCCTTTTCATCCCGAACCTCAATAGTCTTCCGTGAGTTATGGACTGTTGCGGTAACAGAGTCGAATTCTCCTAAGATGTAGCACATTGCATCCATTAAATGGCCGCCGTTTATGGTAATCATGTTTGCTCCATTTTCGATATCGGCGAGATATACAATATTTTCATTAGTTGTAGCTCCCCATGCAAAGGCTGCTGCATACTGATGGGTGGACAGAATCGTACCAAGCTTTCCAGAATCGATGATCTCTTTCATCTTCTTGACAACAGAGGACTGACGGGCTTGTAGTACTACCATTGTTTTTACGTCTTTTGAACGAGCCAGCTGAGTGAGTTCTTCAGCTTCTTGAAGGTTCCGTCCAAGAGGCCATTCGACGATGGCATTCTTTCCTTGTTCGAGGGCAGGCGTAATAAGACGTTTGTGGAGTGGCACCTTTACAGATACGACCACAGTGTCGACTTCCGGATCTTGTGTTAATTCTTCTGGTGTTGCATAATATTTCTTGATAGCAAATGTTTCAGCAGCAGATTTTGCGGATTCAATGCTAGAATTTGAAAGCGCTTTTATAGTATAGATCGAAGACTTTTTGAGGTAAGGGACATGCGCTACTGATGCCCATCCTCCTTTCGTGGAGAGACCTATAAATCCGACGTTGATTTTTGAGGACATAGTTGCTCCAAAGGATTCAGAAGCAATATCGTTTGTATGTATATGTATATATGTAAAACAGAGGCCAGCCTTTAGGGACGTACGTATTCTATCCTTCTTTATCTTCAGATTTGTCTCTCTCCCACTTAAGTATCTAGTAGCAAAAAAAAACACTGTTTACTACACGCTATAACATTTTTTTCTGAAGGATGTTGGCGTTCCTGGCACAGGTGTATGAATGCTTCTCTTTTCCATCTATAATAAATGCGGCTTATTTTAAATGAGAGTTTCTGCTGGTTTACCAAGAAATGAGCGACCTAGTGACAGACTATAGAGTGAAATACAGAGTTCGAACACTGCAGAGTAAGCCAATAAGTGACTATGAGCTGAAAAAATTAACAAATTCATAAAATATAGAACTAAAATGTATAAACTTGTTATATTAAGCGCTAGAATGTTACATTCTCTTCACCACCACATTTGTTATCAGTTCTCTTATTCCTTTTCAGCTGAACGTAGATTAAGGGAATAGTTCTTCCATTTAGATTTTCCTCAAATGTTCCCGGTTTGTCGAGAATACTTCGAAGTATATATCCTGAATTTTTCTCAACTAACTTACACTATTTAGCCGAGAAAAACATTAATTACTTAAATAAATATTGTTAACATTTGAGCACGTGGCTGTTATTAAAAAGTTTCATATCCATTATCCATTCATCATAAAAACTTGATTCTTGCCTCGAGCGATAGAGAAAAGCCGCATTTCTCTCCACGCATTTAAATGCGTGGAGAACATTTACTAGGAGCAAATATGTAAAAATTTAGTTCCTTCCTTTCCGTTATTGACTAATTAGCCGTAACTTATCCTACTCCCATTTGTGATAAAACGTCTCAACAAAAAAATTCAAACAATACTTCGTCTGATACAGAATTTAACGGGCTACAATACAGACTATCTTAGAAGTTTTAGAATTAATTTTTAGCTTCTTTTTTTGCTTTTGGTCTTTAAATTAAATGTTACTGTTTTCCAAATTTTCAAATTTCGTATTTTTCAGTTCGAGCGAAACTATTGTAGCCGTAAGGTTTTTTCCAAAATACTTTCAACTCTAAAACTTCCTCAGGATGGTGAAAGTTAAATTACTGCGTAAGTCTTCATTCGGGAACGGTGAGAAGTTTCTCTTCTTATACAAGTTAATGTTCTCTACCGAACTACGCTAGTATCAACTCTTCATATCAAAAACTGAAGTGTTTATTGACAGTTTAAAAATAGGGTAAAAAATCCGATAAAACCATAAAAAACAAATTTAAAACTGCAAATCCGAGAACCGAAAGATTTGTTGGGACATACTCCGAAGTGTCCTCTACGAACTGGTGGAAAAACCTGATGAAGGGATCCCCTTAAGTATTTTCCACATAATAGCCGTTCAATTTCATAAGAAAAAGAAAAAATGCTAGAATCGGATATGAATATGGACGGACAAAGAGAGAGAGAGAGAAATAACACGTGCAATTTCAGCTTTTCTGTTTTTTTTTGTACAATGTCTGCTACGTGAAAAGGTAACGTCAATCGTAAAAGAAATAATTCAATACAATAAGCATGTGAAGAAAGGCAAAACGAAAAAACCTGCCAGCGCACTATACACAGTTTGAGGCGATAGTAATGAGACGCAATTTCTTTGTGCTTCTTCTGTTTCTTTATTCACTTTTTCTCTCCTTTCTCTTTCTGTACATCAGTGTATGCTTCTTCTCTTTCGGTTATTAGATTTGTTACTGATAGTATTAGAACAATCATAAAAATTGAAATTTAACAACCAAAATTATTACAACAATTATAATTAAATAATCATGAAAATAAATAATTTGCTTTAACGTCATATTTAAAGCATCTTGAAGAAAATAAATAGTAAAAAGCTGATTATCCTACAATCGCCCTATGGTTGTATTCGTTCTCAAAGAAGAGGTGGTGGCTCATTACAGTTATACAGACCGGATTATACACACCGGAACCAATTAAGACTTTTCTTTTGTTAAGATATTGGTTTCAACCTCGAAAAATGAAGGTCTTAAACCTGTAAGCGTTTTTAATTCAAACAGAAGCTTTTATCTAAAATTTCTTAATAGAAGCTTTGTGAGCGCACCGAGAAACACAAGCTCGTCAGAAATTGACCTACTACTTTGCTGCCATTCAATAAAGCATACAAAATTATGTTACAGTTCTTTTCACTCATCTACGTTATGTATGTTTGTTAGTCATTTTTTTTAAATGTCTATGCGGTAGTTTAAAATCTTGACTTTTCATATAACAAGAATATCAGCAGCAGCAACAATAAGAGCATGAAATCTACTTCTTCAATACGACATTTTGGCAGTTTACTAACAAAAGTAAGAAACAAAACCTGAAAAAAAGAGAAAAAAACCTCTCATTAATAGCGTGTGTTTGCTCCTTTTTTTCGAATACGTTCATCCAACCGTTTTTCAACAGAATCAACCACAGTCCAGTGACACTACTGTCAATTGAATACTAAATTTCTTCAGTTTTTTCTTTAAGTTCTTCGAGAGTTTTCGCTGGCCATCGACATTATCATGTTGAAAAACCTTTTTTTTACCTAGCTGAAACGGCGGAAGACCAAAAGACAGATATTCATAGGGTCAGCGGGAAGAAGAAAAACAGCCTATCGCACATTACTTTCAACTTTCGAGCTGACTGCACCAAATTCTTTTGCAAAATTTCATGATACATTCACCAGTCATGTTACCATCGATAAATACTAAATTCCCAACTCCATTCCTTAACATACAGCCCCAAATTTTTACATCAAGATGCTGCATGTGGTATAATGGACGAAGGAATCACTCTTGGTAAAACACATGAAGCTCAGTGTCTAGCTAGTCATCTTTTAGCAGCAAACATCTTGCAGAAGCAATTGAAGTAAAGGAAGACGTATCTGAAGACGAAAAATCTGCCGCTTCCAGAATTAAAATGGGGTCTAGCGTTTCGGAAAGGGGTCGGATTCCAGAGCATTTTCAAAAAAATAATTTTTCGAAAACAAGTTGTCGAAAGTTCCGATTGTGATGTACGAAAGTGCACTTTTTAATAAGTGAACCGACCTTCTGACTGGTCTGTCTTCCGGATTTTACATCTTTTTAGGAAAAAAATTTGACCACGAGAATCAGCATTCGATTTTAGTGTAGGTGGTCAAGGTATAGTATGAAGATGACGGAGTCGTTTCCGAAGTTCGGCTGCGAACGAAATGGATGTTCTCTTCTTCTTTCTCATCCGGTGCCTTTTGCTGTTGCCGGTCTTTTTCAACGAGTTCTTGAGGGTGAGGGTGTGAGTACAAGCTACCACGATCGCGATTTCAGCCCAACTAGAGGTCTCATCAAGTGGTTTGCACTTCGGTTACTCCTAAGATGGAGTAAACCGTTTTGTCTTTCCATCAAATCTACGAAGAAAAACGAAGGAAAGACCGGCTGCTCTGTTTGTTTCTTTTCGATTAGTAGCATTCATTTATGTGGAGAATGGCATGGAATATGAAATACAGGATTACGGATGAACGTCTCTTGTTTTATGGATGAATGCAGGCCTTCTGGATGTGTTTTCGAACCGATGTGATGTTGAATTCTGAAGAACAAGCATCGGAGTCAAACATAATATTATCAAACTAGTGGTGGGTAGAAATTTTTCTTTTTGCACTCTTTCGATCAATAGATAAGTATTGCTTGATTACAACCGGCTGAAGACAAGAAAAAAGTACGAAGACAATGGAAACCGAGAGATTGATTGGAACTAGATGAATGAATATTATTTCGAGCGAAAGAGCAAAGTACTAACGAAGGAATAAAATAAAAGAAAGATGTGAATAGAAGGACTGACCCGTTGTCCATGAAGTTTAGTTGCTTGATGAAGAGATGACGAATGAATGGTTGAGGAGAAGAACTCGGCTTTATATACCACTAGCGGAAGTACCCGATGTTGGTCGAGATAATTTGATAGTACATATTTGACGTATGGGAAAACGACGTCGCTTGGTCTTCTATGGATTATCGGTCTGCGATATCGACAATACGCTTGGATCTTTTTCCTTTTCAACTTTTAGTATTTGGCATTTTGAACTTTTTATAAATATCCTTTTTCTATTAAATGTTTTTGCTTATAGCCTTATTTCATTTAAAAGAAACTGTCCAATGGAATACAATTTTCATTGTAAAGCTGTTTGATACACAATGTTCCTGGTTTTCGTTCGCATCAGGGGCAAAAACATATAAATTTTTTCCGGTTCCGACTCTTGAACACGCCACGTAAAGTTGGCCATGAGAAAAGCAACCCAGGTCGAAGAATCGTACTATGATCGTATCTGAATCAGACAAAATCGTACCAAATCGTATGAAAATCATACATGAATCGTGGTATCTGATTTGTCCTCTGGATCGTATAATAGGATCGTACAAGATCATATACGATCATACAACTTCGTATGAAATCGTACAGTACGGGCCAGACGACCAATCAGGTACCACGATTCGTATGTAGATCGTACATAATCGTATATGATTTCGTACGATTCGTATACGATCTTGTACGATCAGATAGTACGATTCAATCACCTGAGAAGAAGTCTCTAGATTAATACCAGCAACCTTAAGTGATTGTCCTTAAGCCTTACTGATGGACATCGCGAAGGAAAGATGTACTGGAAACTGAAGACGCTTGAACTCAAACGGCATATCAGGAGGAATCATGGATATTCGTGGTATGAATACATCCTCACCTTTTGCGCAGCCAGTCAGGATGGTTGCTTCAATAACATGAGGCACCAGACTTTTCACACACAGCCTTGTACCATTGTATAGTCTTGGTGCATCCAGGTTTCTCAGAAGCATAATGGGAGAACTAATTTTGAGCAGCAAGTTGTATGGCGACATGTTAGAAGGCTCGAAAGAATTGAGAAATTCAGTGGGATACTGAATCGCCTCATTGACATCCGCAACTGTATCAACCAACTTATAAGATGTAGTTTCTCCGGGGAGCTGTTGTTGAATCTGTAAGTTGATAGCATTCACGCTGTTATTTTTAGGGGCAAGAATGGCACGTTCACATAGCCATTTGTGATCGTTGAAATGGCTCCGGATGTTCGGAAACCTTGTCATTTTCATTGTTTCACATTCTTATATCTCACTGTTTATCATTCCTATGTATATGGTCTGATATTCTCCTCATTATTTTACTGTGAAATTCTTTGTATGGTACGATTTTCTCTTCTCTTCTCATCTCTCTCTCTCTCTAACCTATAAATACGAACAGTTTTTCTTAGTGGAAAAACATTCGCTAGTTATCTTTTTTGTGTTGAATAAACATATGGTCATTATCATCTCACATTGGTGCACTAACCGATTGTTTGTCAATACAAGAACACAAACAAGTACCCAAACCAATTAAATCTTCAAGCTGGTGCATACACGCAATACAATAGATCAACAAGCACAGGCGAATTATCAAGCATATCAACAAACATTAGTAGCCCACCGCGAACGAAAAAGACACCAACCAGAAGCTGAAGAAATGACAACCAATTTGACAAATCAAATCTTACTGAAGGGTATTCAACCAGCAAAACAATTTACGGATCGTGACGATCAAGATCCAATCGCATGGGTACAAGGTATCAATGAACTATTTGTGGCCACCGGTGTCAAGAAAGAAGACAGAAGAAAGCTACTACCCATATATTTCAGTGATGATGTTAAAAATGGTATCGAAATTCAGAACATGAAGAAGATTACGACACATTTATACTTGGATAAACTCGTTCACTTACATCATCAACACAAAGATTAAATATTTCATCAAAATTAATAAATCGTCGACAGGGCGTGAACGAATCGGTACAATCATATTATTATGACATTTTGCAATTATGTAAGAGATTTAATCACGAGATAACCAAGTCCGAGCAAATAATATATTTATTACGTGGGTTAAAACCATCCACACAACACCATGTTATTATTAATGATCCCAAGCAATGTACAGATTTATTAGAAAAAGCAAAACGAGTGGAAGCCGCGACAACACTCACCCAACCAATAGTCACACCGACCACTGAAACAATGGAAGAAAGCACCACAGCTGCTCTTCGCCGAACAAACAATACTCAAAATTTTCGTCGAGATGATTATTATAATCGAAATTATCCCCGTTATTCAAATTATGATCGCCGATGGCGACAACCACAAAATTCGGTTACCTATCAACAGTCTCCATATCAACAACAACCAAGCATGTCATCCCGACTAGTCTGTTATAATTGTAGCAGTTATGGTCATTATTCATATCAATGTCCAAGTCATTTAAACGAGTAATGGTGTCGCA